TCGAGATTATTCATTCAGTGGAATTAAAGTTGTTTCTCGAAAATATTTGATTTGAATGCCCGCGCTCTCAGTAAAACCATTGTCATATCTCTGGTAAGGGAAAGTGTTGGTTTAAACACGAAGTAGATTTTCCATCTCACCAAATGGGGATCAAAATTTCAAAACTTGTTTTTGTCTCAGAAAAATTTATCACCCGAAATTTTGTTATCTACTAGTGTGCAACATAATCCTACCATATTTCTGTAACGGCAGGATGTCGGCTTCTGACCACCTAAAGTAGCTACACTCTGGAAAAAAGCCTACATTATTCGTACGGATTTGTCCCATTGATTTAAAGTGCCTTTATGAATTTAAATATCTTTTAGAGAAACATGTCAGAAATATTTTTCCCTGTACTGATTTATTGGAATTTCTAAATGTACCATCTTTCTGTCCCGATTCAAATTTTTATTTTTCTCATTCGTTACTCTTATAATGCATTGGAGTAGACGCAGGTGAAGAGCTCTTCCGAAATTTCATGTATCCGATAAGTCCTACTGTTTTTGCCATCTACAAATTTGCACTTGGGAGTCTTTGCTTTTAACTTACATCATGCAAGATGCCTGCTCGAAAAAAGGGAATTTTGTGGCAACCAAAATGCAAAAGACTATTAATAAGCTTTACATTTTTGAATATTGTAGTTTCTGCAGGTGGTGGTAAATAAGCTCGTTTAAAAGACAACATGCCGCCACGAATAAAATACGTTAGAATTTGGCTAGACGGTAATTGGTATTACAACCTTAATTAACTAATCCCTTACATTGAAAAAAAGACTATTACAATAAATTCGGTTGTCCTTTGCGATATAGCAAACCCAGTGTAGGTAGAGTGTCATCGCCTCACCTATTTTGAGCGAAAATAATTCTTACTGACTACTGGGCACCAGATAATGTGTTCCATCGCTGTGTCTTTTCTTTCTAGATGTTTCAGCATCAACGAAAGCAAGGGAACACATTTAATTTAGGTAGGCGTGGTCCAGGATAGACCCAATGTACGCAAGCTACTCAGAGAGTAGAACGACGACTTCCTTCGTCTAAGTCGTCGACGAAGGGGATGGACAGAGAACTTTCAGTGTCATTCTGGCGCTGAAACTAATACCTGGTAGCGTGGTGAATCAAAAAAGATCTTAATAATCCAAAGTCATATTTATATACTATAATAGAAATGCTAAAGGAACCCTAAGTATGGGGCAAAAGTTATAGTCGTGAATCGGTATGTTTTCAGTCGATTGGAACTTGATATATGTTCTGTCTGTTATTACTTACCAATGAGAGGTTTATCACTTAAAGAATGTGCGCCTGCCCAGTTAATCACAGCACTAGTCAAAAGAATGAACATTCTTTTGCTCGCGATTACTCCAGTTACTATGAACTATGGCGAGCCGGGTAAAGGCCATCAAATACTGGAAGCAAATAGAAATCATAAAAGCTGTTTTTAAGGAACAAGCATGGAACCTCAGGTCAGCCCTTGGGTGCACAGGTAAATGTTTTGCGAATCTAAGTCCTTCTAGCTACCGTATCACTTTTAATCACTTTTACATGAAGGCTAAATATTTTTCATTTGGTCGGCATCCGCCTGTGCGTGTCGCAGAAGGATGTTTAGAAAATGAAGAAGCGGAAGACAAGTCAATCACTACAAGTCTCGATGTATTCATCTCATATTTGAAGTTGTTGCTTGCATTGGGCAGTAGGGAAGTAAAATGTGCAAAATTTACTATCAAGTTAATATAGGCCAATTATTTGCTGGTTAAGCGGCTATACAAACTTCTGAGTGTACTTTTGTGGGCGGAACTTTCAAAGTTTTGATAGAACACAGCTACCTCCGCAGTGATCCGCAGTGATTATTGAGAGTACTAATTCGTAAGTAGAAAGCAAAATCTTCAATTCTTTCCTGAGGATTCTATCGAACGAATTGCTATCTGAGAAAACTGTTGTGGGCTGAGATTCTTCCCAAATGGAAAGAGTTTACTGAAGTTTGTTTAAACTATACGTGAATTATAATTACTCAAATGTGTCACAAAAGGTTGTTTCTTTTGATCTAAATAACCCTTTCTCTTCTTCTTTTTCCACTCAGATATGGCAGTACCTGCTTTTCTCGGATCTTGCCTCTCCGGTTCGTGGCCTGCCCCGTCTGCCACCCGGCTACTTGGGGTCGTATCCCAAATTCGCAGAGTTGGGCCTCTCGACGGTGAGCCATTCGGATCCCTTCATCAGGGTGAAGAGCGCGGAGCTCTGCGTTCGTTTGGCCTACCAGCCGAATCTACCACTAAAATGGAGGGCAGACCTTATCTTTGTATCAAATAAGGCCTCGGAGCACTGGTCCCACATGGTTTGTGCATTGTCTCCCTTTTGCCATTTGTTTCTCTCCAACCTAACTTCACACAAAAATCAACATTCAACCTCATATTAAAACAACATTGCTTCCTGTAGCCGCCTTCGTTGTCGAAGTTTGTGATTTCAGTGGTCCGGTCTCTGGGGCACGGAAATCGACCATTGGATCGTATTAATGTTTGGCTTCAGTCCGTACCTCCATTCAGCCTGCCCCTTTCCTCAGAAATCAGTTAACTGTTAGTCGCGCGAGACGTCTGTCAGGATAATTTTGTTACACAGTCAATAACTGACTAATTTTATGAAATGTTAATTGAAATTAAAAATTAAGTTTGTGATTAGGAATTATTAATTTAATGTCTTTTAATATCGATAATTGTGCAACATGATCCAAAATTACTTCAGTAATTTCAGGATTCCGACGTTTGAATGAACTTATTCCTGGTCGCCGGTTAAAATCTCACTTGGTAAAAAGGATGACCTATATAGTATGCAGGCTGCTCACTTTGTGGCTAAAGAAAGACATATTGGTCTATGACCTGAAGAAATTACCACATAGTGCTCGTAACACTTTGCAACGGATGTCGGTTATTTTGCATACTGAAAGAACATCAATACAAAAAGTAAAGAATGGACACTATTCTACTGAACACTTCCCACGTTAATATATATATATATCATTATTATAATCTTCCTAAAGAGAGAAACTGAGACTTCTTCGAAACCAGCATTCGACGAAGACGTAACTGGCTATATAATCATTAACGAAAATAATATGTTTATTAACTATGGTATTTTACCGACAAACACAGAGCACACCACCAAGGGCTTTTCTGTTTCCTTGGGCGGCATCAGGTGGTAGTAGCCTAACTCCAGTGTTGCAACGGAAATTGCCGCCACACCTGAGTCTCTTACTCGCGTCTCTCCGGCCAGAGGCGAACGCTCTAACTCTTGAGCCACGGGTCCACTGTGTTGTCGGTTTGTGATCGGAACTACATAGTAGTGGGTAACTGTACACCGATCTGTTTCAGGATGTACCTATCCTGGTTGATGCCTTGTTTGCAAGCTAATTGGAACCTCAGTCGTATGTGTTCTAGGCAAAATAGTTATCTTACTCGCTAGCTTTTAGTCACAATGGTATTTTACCGAAAAATACAGAGCACACCACTGAGGCCTTTTCTGCCTCTTTGGGCTTCATCAGGTGTTAGTAGACAAACTTCAGTGTAGCAACGGAAATTGGCGCCACATTTCAGTTTCGAACTGATGTGTTTATGAACATTTTCTATAATATCTACTTGAATTTATCAGTACCTTCAAACTTGATTGAAAAGGTGCATACTGCATATGAAGTCTCTTTTGACGAGTGTGGTTTCCATAGGTGACATAAGTGAAGTGCGTTCAAAAGCCGACATTCTGACGTGTCTGAAGTACTATGGGGTTATATTGGACAAAGGAATACAGTGGATGCACTATCTCATGAAATGCTAACCGAAATTTTAAA